CTCCGGCGCCTGGCAGCTCTCCCCTCCTCCCTGCTCCTCTACGGCCACTACTACGCCACGGGGGAGGCCCCCGCCGGGCAGAGGCTCCTGGCCAGGTAAGGGGGGACGTGGGGAGCAGGGGACAGTGGGGGAAGTGACACCGCACCCGGGCACGGGGAGGGCGGCTGGGGTCCCTTCGCTGGTGCCTTCCTGTGGGTTATCCCGGGCTCCTGCCCTGTTGGAGGGGTGCGATGGAAGCGGGTGCTGCCCCCCGAAAGTGTCCCCACACCCGGGAGCTGCCGGGCTGCCCCACAGCCCCAGCTGTGCCCTGGGGAGCGCGAGCGGGACCAGGGGCTGCAGGGTCCTGGCACGGGCTCAGCCCGCACACCAAGAGCATCTCTGAGACAGGCAGGGCTGGCACTGACCCCCAGCACCCAGCGGGATTGACCCCCGCTTCCCACAGCAATGGCCGGGACACTCGGCAAGAGCAGCGTGTCCCTGCTGGGCTGGTTCTGGATTCAGGGGGGCTGATTTACCCCAGGGGGGTGACACCCCCCCTTGCCCCAGTGCGGCAGCGCTGATTACAGCAGCAGCACGGCAGGGCCTGCTGGTCCCCAGCCCTCTCCGCTGACCTGGGGATTTTGCCCCCGCAGCGCTTGCAAAATCCGAGGGGCTTCAGGGTGTCCCCGGCTCCAGCACTTGGCATCTCCTCCTCTGCCTTCCCTGCGTCTTTCCCTGCCACTTCCCTGCGCCTCTTCCCGGGTGCAAGGGAGCCCGGGTTGCCTGCAGCACCATCCTTCTCTCCTGCAAGGGAGGCTGTGAGCACCCTGTCCCCACGCTGTGCTCCATGTCCCCACGCTGTGCCCCATGTCCCCACGTTGTGCTCCATGTCCCCACGCTGTGCCCCATGTCCCCACGCTGTGCTCCATGTCCCCACGCTGTGCCCCATGTCCCCACGCTGTGCTCTGCACCCCTGCACTGCCACTGGAGCAGGTCCCGGCAGCTGGCACTGAGCCCGGCTCCCCGCGTGCCTGGCAGAGGGGCTGCAGGTCACTGCTGGGACTGGAGCAGGTCCTGCAGGGCCGTGTGTGCTGGGACGTGCTGGGGATACCTGGGATGCAGGGAATAGCTGCTGCCTTTGTCCACTTGGGAAGTCTCTGCCTGCTCCATCCCGGTGCAGAGACCCCCTGTCTCTCACCCAGGACAGCAGTGAGGGCCATTCTGGCCACCCCAGCTGGGGTTGCAGCGGTCCCAGCAGCGTTGCCAGCTCTGTGTGATGCTCGGGGTAAAGCGGAGCTGGGGGATATCCAAACCACAGCTCCTGCCTCCGCACCAGAACCACGGCTCTACCCGAGCCACGGGGATGCTGGTCCCTGCAGACCCGCGGCGGGAAAGGGGGACAGGAGGTCCCCATCCTGGAGCAGGGCGGCAGGGAGCTCGCCTGAGCACCGAGTCCTTTGGGACGCTTCTCCCCTAACTTTAATCCTAAGTTGTTCTTTCTCCCTTCCTGCACATGCAAATGCATCAACCTGTTGTTTCTGCTTGTGTGCCCCAAGCTGGTAATTAATTCGTATCTGCCTTGGCCACTGATAGGGGCTCTATCTACAAGGGCAGCTTGGGTGTTCAGTGTTTCCCGCAGATAAAACCTGCTCCTGCTCCTGCTCCGGACACTTGTTCTCAGCAAGGGGCAGCCGCGGCGGGTGCCGGGGCCGGCTCTCAGCTGGGAGGGCTGCACGGGGCAACCCGCGGGGCCAGGAAGGGCTCAGGAATGGGGGTACCCACTGATGCCTGGGCCAAAGCGGCCGCTTAACATCCCCGCACCGCCGGGCACCGTGCAGCGGGTGCCGGGCGCCCTCGGGCCGAGCGAGCGGCCCTGTTTGCGCCGCTGAGCTTGCCGGGCCCGGGAGTGTTTGCCCAAGATAGAGCGCCACAGTGCGCGCTCTCAAACACTGTTATCTTCAGGAAGCGGAGGGTGGCCGCGTGCTGGAGACGTCACATCTGCTAATTCCTCCCCGGAGCGGGGAACACGCCCAGGCTCGGCGCTTTCGTGTGCCGGCGCCGCTGCCCGCGGCCGCTCCTTCCCGCGGTGAGGCCGCTCATCTT